GATTGAATAATTGAAAATGAGATTATTCAGGAATACACATTGAATGCTGAGATTACGCATTGAATTTCTGTTAGTAGATCCATAATCAAAGAAGTGTTTGTGAGTATTGCAGAAGAAATGAAACAAAAGATACGGTAGAGCTAGGACAATTATTGTATGAGGTTTACCCAGTGCTAGATGCAGAGGGGCATAATAGACCGATATGAACATTATGAGCTGTCACGTAATAAAACCAGTTGTTGTTGATACCTTCTTCTCGGTTCCTTCTTATCCTTCTTCCATAATGTGAGCTCGGAGAAGGAAAAGATAGGAGGGCCCTATGGAGAATGTGGTCAGAAATCCATAATAAAGTATGACCACAATGACCGAATTGATTATCTTCATGCCCAACGACACAATATCAGGGGCACGCTCTACCCACTGAGCTAATAGCCCGTCGTGCGAGCCCCCCCCCCCCCACCGGGGGCCCACTATGCCAAAAGCGAGAGAAACCTCATCTCTCTCTCTCTCTCTCTCTCTCTCTCTCTCTCTCTTTCCTTTTTTCGCCCTCATGTTGCCACACAGGGGCATGGGGACGTAAAAAGGAGGATCATATCAACTTGTTCCGACCTGAGATAATAAGCTCATGAGCCTAGTCTTACTTCACTATCGAGAAACGAAAGAAGACTTCCATCTCCAAGTTTAACTCATACGTAGCTCCCTTCTTTTTTAGTGTGAAGCAATGTCAAACCAAAATACCCAACACGCATTAGCTCTCCCTGAAAAGGAGGTGATCCAGCCACATCTTCCAGTACGACTACCTTGTTACGACTTCACTCCAGTCACTAGCCTTGTCTTCGGCATCCCCCTCTCCTTGCGGTTAAGGTAACGACTTCAGGCATGGCCAGCTCCTATAGCGTGACGGGCGGTGTGTACAAGGTCCGGGAATGGATTCACCGCCGTATGGCTGACTGGCGATTATTAGCTATTCCGGCTTCATGCAGGCGAGTTGCAGCCTGCAATCCGAACTGAGGATGGGTTTTTTGGAGTTAGCTCACCCTCGCAGGATTGCGACCCTTTGTACTGGCCATTATAGCACGTGTGTTGCCCAGGGCATAAGGGGCATGATGACTTGACATCATCCTCACCTTCCTTCGGCTTATCACCGACAGTTTGTTCGGGGTTCCAAACTCAATGATGGCAACCAAACACGAGGGTTGCGCTCGTTGCGGGACTTAACCTAACACCTTACGGCACGAGCTGACGACAGCCATACACCACCTGTGTCCGCGTTCCCGAAGGCACCCCTCTCTTTCAAAAGGATTTGCGGCATGTCAAGCCCTGGTAAGGTTCTTTGCTTTGCATCGAATTAAACTACATGCTCCACCGCTTGTGCGGGTCCCTGTCAATTCCTTTGAGTTTCATTCTTGCGAACGTACTCCCCAGGCGAGATACTTAACGCGTTAGTAACAACACTGCACGGGTCGATACGCACAGCGCCTAGTATCCATCATTTATGGCTAGGACTACTGGGGTATCTAATCCCATTCGCTCCCCTAGCTTTCGTCTCTCAGTGTCAATGTCGGCTCAGCAGAGTGCTTTCACCGTTGGTGTTCTTTCCGATCTCTACGCATTTCACCGCTCCACTGGAAATTCCCTCTGCCCCTACCGTACTCCATCTTGGTAGTTTCCACCGCTTGTCCAGAGTTGAGCCCTGGGATTTGACGGCGGAGTTAAAAAGCCACTTACAGACGCTTTACGCCCAATCATTCCGGATAACGCTTGCATCCTCTGTATTACCGCGGTTGCTGGCACAGAGTTAGCCGATGCTTATTCCCTAGATACCGTCATTGTTTCTTCTCCGGGAAAAGAAGTTCATGACCCATGGGCCTTCTACCTCCACACGACATTTCTCTGTCAGGCTTTCGCCCATTGCGGAAAATTCCCCACTGTTGCCTCCCGTAGGAGTTTGGGCCGTGTCTCAGTCCCAGTGTGGCTGATCATCCTCTTGGACCAGCTACTGATTATCGCCTTGGTAAGTTATTACCTCACCAACTAACTAATCAGACGCGATCCCCTCCTCGGGCGGATTCCTCCTTTTGCTCCTCAGCCTACGGGGTATTAGCAACCATTTCCAGCTGTTGTTCCCTTCCCAAGGGCAGGTTCTTACGCGTTACTCACCCTTCCGCCACTGGAAACACCACTTCCCGTTCGACTTGCATGTGTTAAGCATGCCGCCAACGTTCATCCTGAGCCATGATCGAACTCTCCATGAGATTCATATTTGCATTACTTATAGCTTCCTTGTTCGTAGACAAATCGGATTCAGAATTGTCTTTCATTCCAAGGCCTAACTTGTATCCATGCACTTCATATTTGCCCGGAGTTCGCTCCCAGAAATATATCCATCCCTGCCCCATCACGTCAATCCCACGAGCCTCTTATCCATTCTCATTCAATCACAACGGGGTTGCAAATCAAAATATCAAAACTCACATTGGGTTTAGGGATAATCAGGCTCGAACTAATGACTTCCACCACGTCAAGGTGACACTTTACCGCTGAGTTATATCCCTTCCCTGCCCCCATCGAGAAATAGAACTGATTAATCCTAAGGTAAAGGGTTGAGAAACTCAACGACACTATTCTTGAACAACTTGGGGTCGGACCTTATTTTATTTTTTTTCACACTATTACGGATATGAAAATAATGGGAAAATAGGATTCAGTTGTCAACTATCCCTATCGGAAATAGGATTGACTACGGATTCGAGCCATAACACATGGTTTCATAAAACCACACGATTTTCCCGATCTAAATCAAGCAGGTTTTACATGAAGAAGATTTGGATCAGCGTGTTCTATTCGATATGGGTAGGAGAAGAACCCGACCCGGTATTATTAAAAAAATAGAGGAAGCAGAACCAAGTCAAGATGATACGGATCAACCCATTTTTTGCGCCAAATATCTTACCATTTCCGAAGGAACTGGAGTTCCATCTCTTTTCCATTTCCATTCAAGAGTTCTTATGTGTTTCCACGCTCCTTTGAGATCCCAAAAAATGTACAAATTCCTTTTCTTAGGAACACATACAGGATTCGTCACTACAAAAAGGATAATGGTAACCCCAGCATTCACTACTTCATTTATGAAATTCATAGTAATAGAGATCCATGTCCTACCGAGACAGAGTTTGGAACTTGCTATCCTCTTACCTAACAGGAAAAGCTTTGCCTCCGTGGAAAGGATGATTCATTTGGATCGACATGAGAGTCCAACTACATTGCATTGCCAGAATCCATGTTGTATATTTGAAAGAGGTTGACCTCCTTGTTTCTCTTACGGTACAATCCTCTTCCCGCGGAGCCCCCTTTCTCCTCTGTCCACATAGACAAAATGTAGGACTGGCGCCAACAGTTCGTCACAGAAGAAAGGACTCACTAAGCCGGGATCACTAACTAAGACTAATCTAATATGAATTAAATAGAAAAGACTAATATAATATATAACTAAAAAGAGCTGTCTTTTCTGTATACTTTCCCCGGTTCCACTGCTACCACGGGCTTTACGCAATCGATCGTATTATATAGATATCCCTTCAACAAAACATAGGTCATCGAAAGGATCTCGGAGACCCACCAAAGCACGAAAGCCAGGATCTTTTAGAAAATAGATTCATATTCGAAGAGTGCATAACCGCATGGATAAGCTCACACTAACCCGTCAATTTAGGATCCAATTTGAGATTTTCCTTAAGAGGTATCGGGAAGGAATTGGAATGGAATAATATCGATTCAAACAGAAGAAAAGGTTCTTGATTGATTCAAACACTGTACCTATGGAATAGAGGAAGAGGAAAAAACGAATATTTCACATAGTGCTTTTAATCAATCTGATTTATTTCGTACCCTTCGCTCATTGAGAAAATGAGTCCAATTCTAAATGATCAAAGCTATGGGACTTAAGGAATAATATAAAAAAAGAGAGACAAAAATACTGATATTAAATAAAAATCAATAAAATAAGTAAGTAAAAATGAAAATAAAATAAGTGAATAAAAATGAAGTAGAAGAACTCAGATTCCAAATGAACAAATTCAAACTTGAAAAGGATCTTTCTGATTCTTGAAGAATGAGGGGCAAGGGGATTGATCGAGAAAGATCTCTTGTTCTTATTATAAGATCGTGATTGGATCCACATATGTTTGGTAAAGAGAATAATCAAAAACGGAAAGTGTTCAATTGGAACATGAAAACGTGACTAAATTGATCCTAGTTACTCTTCAGGACGTAGTGGAAGAAGGGAGGGGATTCTCGAACGCGGAAAAGGATCCAATAACTTCGAAAGAATTGAACGAAGAACCGTATGAGGTGATAATCTCATGTATGGTTCTATAGAATGGCAGTAAGGGGGACTTATTTGTCAACTTTTATACTATCACCCCAAAAAAACCAAACTATGCCTTACGTAAAGTTGTCAGAGTACGATTAACCTCTAGATTTGAAATCACTACTTATATACCCGATATTGACCATAATTCACAATAACATTCTGTATTCTTAGTAAGAGGGGGGAGGGTTAAGGATTTACTCGGTGTGAGGTGAAAATCTCATGTACGATTCTGTAGAGTGGCAGTAAGGTTGACTTATCTGTCAACTTTTAAGGCTACAATTATCTTAAACATTTTAAACTTTTAAATTAAGATCTTTAAGTATTTTGTTTTTTTTAACATTTTATTAGATTAGATTAAGTTGTTAAAAAATTACTTGATATCTCAGATATTATTAAATAAAAAATATCAATTTTCAAAGCTTGAGTAACTTCGTTTATGTTTCGTTTGTTTATATAAACAAAACTAATAAAACACGATATATTTATTTCATTAAATTTATTTTCAGGTAAAATTCAAAAAAAAAATTATATAGTTCGGGTAATACCCGAATTACCCAAACCCGACCCGATACCCGAATTACCCAAACTCGAATTTAGTTTGGGTAGGGTAACAAATATTTTTTCTAACATGAAAAACCCGAATTACCCGAAACCTAAGGTATCGAATGATGGAGAAGAAAAGAAAAAGAAGAGAAGGAGAAGGAGAGAGACTCTTTTGTTTACGAGCATTAACCAAGTTGGTGTTGTCGAACTTGAAATATCGAGATTGAGGATTGGTGTTTGCTGAGGTGAGTCAACAACTTCTGGCCTAATAACAATCTATTATAGATCATTGATATTGAAAAGGTTAAAAAAAATCATGATGGCATTTTGCAGATAACGAGCACTAACATATACCCTGAGAGAGTGATCAAGGCAGTTATAAGATCAAATTGTAACCCAAAAAATTGATTATTTTATGACATTGATGTCCGGAATTAAGAGAATTAAATATATCCAAATGCATAAAAACCCTGGAAATCACAAATTCTGAGTACAGAAAAGAAAAAAGAAAAAAGAAAAAAAAAAACTCGTATCAGAGCTAAATAATAAAACCCAAAAAACCAAAGGAAAGCACACACAAACAGATACCGATTCCCCACTCTCTTTCTCTCACTAAAACCCTCAATTGTCTCTTTCTCTAAAATCATCGCCACCGAATTACTCCCCCATTCATGTACGCTTCGCAGTATTGTGTTTCCACCATGAATCAGTAGTGAAATTCAGTTTCTCCGAATTCCTTGATCCAGTTATCAGGTAAGAAATTTCATGTATTGAGCTGTTATATTGGGATTTTGGTCTGATTTTTTGGTACACAAACTGGCTTTGGTAGTTTAAATTGGGCGTTTTTTTTTTTTTTTAAACCGAAGCGTTTAAAATTCTACGGATTTCTTGTCAATTGAATGTGTTGTACTTTTGATTGAATGATCTCCAAGCGTGTTTCACTTTCTTGATTCGATAGTGCATTGGTGCAATTCGACTATCAGATAACCCTACGGTTCGATTTTTCTTGATTGTTGTACAATTCGTGTTTAGATGATCATGAATTTTAACAATTGAGACTTGTTTTGAGTTAGAAAAAATGGTATTAGTGTTAATTGATTGTGTGCAGGGTTTGTAGGGATGGAATTGAGATCGAATAGGGTGTTAAAAAGTGGAAGACATCGTGTTGTTTTGGGTCTTGAGAATATCAAATCTCCTATTGCGAAGAGGAAAAGGAGCTCTGGTAACAAGGTAGCAAATGAGGCTGAGAGGTCATCACTGAGATCTCATGTATCAAATTCTGGTAAAAAAAGAGCAAATGAGGCTGAAATTGGGGTATGTGTTGATAATCCTGATGAAGATCTTGAAATGGGTACTGTATTTTCAGAAGGTATAAAAGTTGGATTAAATACCGATGATAAAGGTTTGTTTTTGGGATCAGAGGTGTTGGATCCTATCAAAGATTTACCAGTTTCTTGTTCCGAAGGAGAAATCGAAGAGGAAAGTGTTGAATGTGTTCCTGTTGAAGAAGGAAACAAATCATCAACTAGTGAAACTGATCACTGTTTTAAGGAAGAAATTAAATCACCAATGGACTGTGAACACGAGTCTGAACATGTAGAATCTGAAAAACTTGCTGATGATACAAAGATTGTCCATGGTGATGACTTGTCAATGTTGAATGCTGATAATGGTATTGATAAAGTTAGGCAAAAAAGGGGAAGAGGCAGGCCCCGAAAGAAAAAGAGAAAAATTAGCAACTTAAACAAGAATGAAGTAGAAGATGTAAATGGTGAAGTTGTTGAAAGTGGTATTGTAAAACAGAAAAGAGGAAGGAAAAGGAAAAATGTTAAGAAATCTGAATGCAATGGAGATGAAAGAGCTAAAAGGAAGAAAGTTGGGGTTCGGGTTAGTGAGAGGGTATTGCGGTTGAGGAATAAGGTGGTGAGTGGTGGCTGCACGGTGGTTGATGGTGGCAGACCGGAGAAGAAGATAGAGAGACGTGGAAGGCCTCGTAAGATACGTATTGAAACGGATGAGATTCCTTTAAAACCCTTAAAAAAACGGGGAAGACCACGCAAAATAGATAGTGAAAACAATCAACCGAATGTGAAACCAAAAAACAAGAAACTAAAACAGGGGAAAGAAAAGGTATCAGAAAAGAAAAGACTCAAAGATATGATTTTGAAGAAACTCAAAATGAGAAAAAGAAAATTGAAGCTTGTGGCCATTAAAAACAGCAACAGTGGGTTAGAGGCTAATAAAGTGAAAAGAATAAGAATTCGTAATAAGAAAAGTGTTGTTGGTGAGGGCATTATTGGAAGAGGAGAACGTAAGAAGTTACTGAGAGAGAAACTTCTTGATATACTTTCAAAGTCAGGGTGGACATTTGAGCGTAGACCAAGGCTCAATAGGGTGCATCAGGACATGGTGTATATTGAACCTAATGGGAGGACACATTGGTCAATCACAAGAGCTTATGCTAAGCTTACAAAAAAAATCAAAGATGGTGTTGCTGATACTAATGAAGTCTCTGCATTTATGCCAATGTCACTTGTACAAATCAGCATGCTATCCAAACGTGTGGATAAAGAATTAGGCTGCAAGAAGAAGAAAAACAAAATACAGAAAGATGGAAAAAGCATTAAAAAAGTATTCACCACCAAAAAGAAGAAAAAAGATGGCAAACCGAAACGTGAAAAGGGTATTATTGTCAAAAACCGAAAGCCACGCCTTTTAGTTCGTGGTTCAGAAAAGGGGACAAAACAAGATAGCAAAGGCTGTTTATTGTATTATAACAGGAAACGTAACCTTTTATCATGGATGATTGATTCGGGGGTAATTTTGTCCGGTTGGAAAGTGAATTATGGGAAAACTAGAAGGAAGAAAAAGGCATCGGAAGGGACAATTACAAGTGATGGGATTGTTTGCAGCTGCTGTAATCAAAGTATGAGTATATCAGAATTTGTAGGTCATTCTGGAGGGAAACTTAATCAGGTGTTTGATGATATATATTTGGAATCTGGAGTGTCTTTTAGGAAGTGTTTATTGGATTCATGGAGGAAAGAAGAGGATTCTGGTAGTATCAGATTTAATCTTGTTGATATTAAAGGAGATGATCCGAATGATGATACATGCAACATTTGTGGAGATGGTGGAAATTTGATCTGTTGTGATGGTTGCCCTTCTACATTCCATCAGAGTTGCCTTGACATTCAAGTAATCACAAGTTTCTCAATATCTGTTCTTGTCGTAATCTATTACTACTAAAAATTTTCTTTCTCGCTCACTTGGTTCATGTAAATTGTAGAATTTTCCTCCTGGTGACTGGAATTGCTTCTACTGTTCCTGCAAATTCTGTGGAGTGGTTTCCGTTATTGCCCCTGACAAACCTTCATCATCTGAAATGCTCTCATGTGGTTTATGTGAGGAAAAATGTATGTAATCTTGTACATGATAATTAACTACCAAAAAATGTCTTTTTTTTTTTTTTTTTCTTGCTAATGTGTTGTGTTTTTTAACAATGTAACAGTTCACCAATCGTGCTCAGTCGAAGTGGGACCCATTGATATGGATTCCAACAGACCACCTTTTTGTGGGCAGAAATGTCAGGAGGTATGCTGAAAAAAAAAGAGTGCCATTTGTAATTTGACTGATATCTATTATGCATGAATTTGATTTTGATTTTTTTAAAAATAACAAAAAAAAAAAAATAGCTGTTTGAGCGATTGCAAACGTTTATTGGAGTGAAGAATGAACTTGAAGATGGATTCACATGGAGTCTGCTTCAGCGTTGTGATATCAGTCAAGATTTGAGTATTCATGACATCAAATTAAAGGTGGAAAATAATTCGAAATTGGCTGTTGCATTTTCTGTTATGGATGAATGTTTTGTGCCAATTGTTGATGGGAGAAGTGGAACCAGTATAATCCATAATGTTGTATACAACTGTGGGTAAGCTCCAAATAACTATACATTTCTTGAATAATCATTGTTTATATATATATAATAATAATATCTCATCTTCTTCCGGAAACTTTTCAGATCAAACTTCCGGCGGCTGAATTATGGTGGGTTTGTTACGGCTGTACTAGAAAAGGACGATGAGTTGATCACAGCAGCATCTATACGGTTACACGGGTCCCGGTTAGCTGAAATGCCATTTATTGGGACCCGCCACATGTATAGACGTCAAGGGATGTGTCGCCGCCTTCTCGATGCAATTGAATCCGTATATATATATCTTACTTATCCAACTTTGTTTTTTACATTTTTTTTTATTATTGTTATTTATATTATAAAAAAATATTTCAGACTCTTTCTGCTATTGGTGTGGAAGAGCTGATCATTCCTGCAATCCCTGCACTTCTGCAAACATGGACCAAGGTTTTCGGTTTTCTCCCACTTGAAGAATCAAAGAAACAAGAACTGAAGTGCATGAGCATGATTGTGTTTCCTGGTATCAATATGCTTTGGAAGCCTCTTTTTCATCCATCTGCAGGTAAACTCACAAATGATTGTCTTTATTTTCTACAAAAACAAAATTTAAGTTTTGATTCTGAAATCTGTTTAAACCTCTGTAGATTCTGATGAAAAAGACTTGGAATGTACCACAAACGATAAAAGTGTCTCTCAAACGACACCAAGCAATGCAATAATAGATTGCAATGAAATGCCTGCTGAAAATGGCATTGATTGTGAAAAATTGGAAACCAAATCATCAAATGCAGTGGTCGATTGTGAGGAAAAGCCTCCCGGGGTTGCAAAAGATGCTTCTGTTGGTTGTTATGAACAAATGGAAGAAGATATCATCATAATGGATAATGGCGGATGTCCAAAAGATGATAAATTAACTGCTTCTGACAACCTGTACGACTTAAATTTTCCAGTAAAAAACATTCCGGATTGTACTAGAATGACTTGCGGGCCACACCAACCGTCGGAATCTGAATCACACGTTGAGAATGGTGGTTCTGTTTCTGTTGTGGTCAAAGAGTCTCCATTGACTTCCCAATTGGTTCCCAAAATCACCTTTGACTTGAATCTGCACCCTACAACAACTGTGGTTGATTTCGTTGGTGACGATTCCAAGCCTTGCGATACTCGGCCTCTTGTTTTGCTTTGACTCGGTTTCGAGAGCCTAAGGTCAGATTTTATATATTATTCATAAAATGTTGAAAAATCTCTTTCTTATTAGTTATTGAGTTGTTCCATTCCGTAGATTTGCAGGTAGGTTTATGCCAGTTAGATCTGACTCCGGTACTCGATGGAATTACATGGTTGCATGTTAATAATAATCAACCCCTCCCTTTCAGATGTTCTAGATATGCAATGGAGAACCCCCTTTTTTTTTTTTTTTCCTTTCTGTAGATTTTAGGTTTGTAAATTAATCTTTCGTTGAAAGGTTTGTAGGGGAATAATTTAACTCAAGTTAGGAGATGGAATCCAGAATTGCGACTGGTTTTGGACTCCATGACAATGTTAATATATGCAAATATAGAGGCTGGTAAAGTGGATCTTCATGTTAAGGTAAATTTCACATCCCGTTTCTTGTCGCTTTGATAAGTGGTTTTCTTTTGCAATATGTTGGTTTTAGAGTGTACTAATTGGTAATTTTGCAATTGTAGGCGGGAGCTTTTGGTAATTTTGCACTAGTTTTTTTTAGCAATAGCCGTTGTAGGGTAGGCAGGAGCAACTCATGGGGACAATGGTTGTGTCTTGGAATTTGCTGTGTCTGAATAATCATAAAGAGTTTGTAGAAGTTGTGTTGCCCCTTTCCATTTGCATTATGCCCCTTTCAAAGTGTGATTATGTGTAGTTGTTAGCTTTTTTGACGTAGCTGTTCACATTAAAAGGATAACTCCTTTTAGAGTAGTTAATGAGTTAATTCCCAAGTGATCACCACTAAGCTTGACCATCTTAAGGATGAATGGGTGGAGAACAACACACACCGAAAACAATGTCTCATCTTCATTCCCACCTATATTTGAGTGCTTTATAGGGAAGCAAATCAACAATAACCTAAACTTAATTCAAAACTAATGTGATGATAATTATGATTTATACGACTACACCAAAGTTTTCTTAAGATGACATGGATTTTTCATATCATGACTTGTAGTTAAGTGCCTTCTAGATTTTGCAAGCCAATGAGCAAGAAGTGAGTTCTAGTTATAAAAAACTGAGTAAATCACGCAAATAGACTTAGGGATGAGCTCGGTTCCAAACCTATCCCAAATTCGGTTGGAACCAAAAAGCCCAAACCAAGAACCGAGGACCATACCGTACATGTATTTAAGTTAGGTTAAATATGAAATACATTACCCGCAAACCCAATTTTACCTTCATTTCATATGTTTGTGTTCTTGTGTGGTTTACTTGATGTTCTTGAAGTATTTTAGTTAGGTTAAATATGTCACTTGTGGCATACTAAAGAAACCATAATAAACCAAAAGAAACCATAAAAGTCCAATATATTTTTCATGTATCATCTTTTCAATACCAAAAGAAACAATAATATTATGTTTGTTCCAAAACCCAAAAGAACAAATTAAACATCAGTTGAATAATTCTAATTTATGGTTTGTAACAAATAAAACAAGAAATGTTATGAAAAATAAATTAATTATCCTTAGCTAGCTATCAGTACTGTAAAATGAATTCGATACTTGTCTAATAAGCGACCACAAATGTTAAATGCTAACTCGGATGCCATAATCGATACTTATATGACAAAATAGCTAACAAAAATGACTAAAATTATAAGTCAATTATTTTAGAAATAAACTTTAAAAAAAATATTAAAAAGATAGCTATTGTAAAATGAATTCGATACTTGTCTAATACCACAAATGTTAAATGCTAACTCGGATGCCACAATCGATACTTATATGACCAAATAGCTAACAAAAACGATTAAAATTATAAGTCAATTACTTTAGAAATAAACTTTAAAAAAAATACTAAAAAGAGTATTAAAAATTACATTTGACTATCTGAGAAGTGATATGGAATGCAACGTGTTTTGTTTCCACGACTTAAGGATGTCAAAGTAGGGGTGAGCAAAATTCCAACTCTGACCCGGTAATGAAAAGTATCGTTTATGTGAATATGAGATGATACATGGCATCAAAATTTACGAAAAGTAAGGTTCAATATTGTTGTTACATATGCTAGTACTGAAAACGAGTATCGTATAGGATACTGGTAATGTTGGTTCGATTCGGTACTCAATATTGTTTTTTACCCATTTTTGTGATCCTACATCACATATCCACATAGTCCATATAATAAAAAAGTTCATGAGAACTCGCCTAAATTGACGACAAGATGAAATCCACAATCTCAAGTTAGTGATATCAAGTCTTCCCTAAAACTACATAATAAATAACCTTAATTTAATAATTAAGGCAAAACATTTATCTACACTTCCTTATCCGATATAGGTCCAAATAAAGCGATTATATGGGTAAAATATCATTTTTCCCCTCCAAGACCCAAACCCAACATAGTTGACCAAAAGTCAAACATGGTCAAAAAGTCAACTATCCACATCATCACATCGCTACAAACACAGGTTTGTGATGCTAACGTCTAGACGACAAGATAATCACGATTTGCTTCAAAAGTCGTTACCACGATTTTGTTGTTTAAGCTAACTTTCATCCAAGGTCTTAATCCTTTAAGATCTAAGCTCTAAGCCTCCAAATCACGTCAAAATGTAGTCTTAATGCATAAAGTTTCCAAAATTATCCATTTGCATGTCCTTAACACCATCATTCCAAGTCTATATAAAAAAATGAGACTAAAAAGCTCTTAAAACTCATGCATGGACCAAATGACAAGGTGAACTTCTCATCTTCATACCATAATGGATCTAGAAGCCAAAAAATGCAACCTTTAAGGCTAGAGTTTTTTCAAACTATGACCAAACAACAACCAAAAGACCAAAACATGCATAAAACAAAAGATCCAGACCTAATACATCATAAGACTATGGTCATTGGTGACTAAATGAATTGTAGGTTGTTGAAAATTGATTAAAACGAACATAAACTCTTTGAAACCTATCGACAGGGTTGCTACACCCATGCCTAGTCACCCAACTTCTAGAAATATAGTTGCCATGTAGGTAGCTTACAATATGACATTTGGATTTTTCTCAATGGTTAAATAAATTTAATTATTATACAAAACTTATACTACATATATTTGTATTTTAACTATAATTTTACAAAACATTAGATTATATCAAAATTTATTTTATTTCCTCTACAAATCAAGACTAATATTGGCATATCTATAAAAACTTTTTATAATAAAATTATAAATAACTTTTAAGTTTTAAAATAAATATATTAGTTGTATTTTATAGAATAAAAAAAGTTATAGATTCTATTTAAAATAGAATAAACATAATTACAAATTATATTTATATAACACAAGGTTAGGTTGGTTTTAGTTGTTAATGTGTGTGAAAATTTTGGTTTAGTTGGGTTGTATATATAGATGAGAGAGAAAACAGTTTTTAATAAATAGTTAGGTTGGATTTAATTGCTGATTATAGTGGTCTAAAACTTTAAACTTGAAGACTTACAATGGTCTAAAAGAGTGGTCTAAAACTTTAAGCTTGAAGACTTACAATGGTCCAAAAGGTGTTCAAGAGCTTGCCTAATGCTTTCATGCTTCACAAATACAATTCCTTATCCTTTAAAAAAGACTCAAAAATTGACAAACAATATAGAGAATAATATGGAGGCTAGGGTTTGCTCTCAAGGGGGTCTTTGATAGATGAGGTTGCACAATGACCTAAATCTCGGAGATAATGGCTTTAAATACGTGATAGAACCCTAATTTCATGGGATTGAATTGTACAGACTTCGCACCACGACATACCATAAGTCATGCCGTGAAAGTTTGATATAGCAAGACTTAAAACCAATTTAAGACCAAACTGTTTTTCAGCCCAAAATTAACCATTTAGCCTGAAGTATTATACCCTTAGCCCATAAACCTCATTCTTTTAAGGTCCAAATTTCATCCCTTAAGACCCAGAGACCTTCTGATGACTAAATTAAAGTCTGGTTTTCTAGATAAAAAAACATCCTGAAATCGGATGTTACATGATGATACAATTTCCATTATTTCTTGAATTTTTCAAGAATGACTACATCTTTTATGAAACTGAAATGCAAGTGCTCCGGAAGGAATTTACCTAGATCTCATGTATATGAAATATCTACAAAAATACAAAAGTTACGAATAAAAGTAATTGAATTAAAAAAAAAAAATTAAAAAAAAAATCATTTTTTTTACCTTGCATTTCATATTCGACAAAAATCTATCTTAGTTCTCTAAGGTCGTCTCAAACAACTCGAGGTTTATCCCCTATTCCCCTTAGAAGATTGATGACATAAAACAATAATGTGTTTGATCAATTTGATGAATATGTTCGATTTGAAAAAAATAATACCTAGTTATTTTTGGTAATATGCCTAACATATTGTTTAAATGGTAAAAAGAAATGTTAGTTTGTAATATTTAAATGACTAACTTTTTATGTCATATGGAAATTTATTAAGTTAGATGATTGAAAAAATTATGTGTTATATGCTCGTAAGAGTAATAGAACAGCTTATAATTTTTATTAGTTAATTATCAAAATAAAAATACAACTATTATATTAAGAATTTGACGATCATGTAAATGGGCTTTTTTTTTTTAATATTCTTTTAAACAATAGGCCCAAGTTTATGCAGTCGAATATAACGTATAATATATAACGTGCCTACAGGCGATCTAGGGTTTACAATTCTCGGCTATTAGAACTTCCGGAGCACCAGCCGCCGATACCTGCAATTCCGACTGCAATAATGGTGAGTCACATATCATCTATCAAGTCCCATTGACCATTTATCTCGTTGTTTAGCATGTTTCAGTTTTTGAAGTCTTTTATTTTGTGGTGTTGTAATTTTTAAAAAAATTATGCAGTCGCTGGTAGCAAACGAGGAGTTTCAACACATTCTTCGTGTCCAGAACACAAACGTTGATGGCAAGCAGAAGATTATGTTCGCTATGACCTCAATCAAAGGTATTGGTCGTCGTTTTGCCAACATCGTCTGCAAGAAGGCCGATGTCGACATGAACAAGAGGTGCCTTATTTTCGTGGTCTCTATCTTTTTCACTTCGTTGAGATCTGATTGAATTGTTTCTATGGCATTTAGATGTTAGATCTCTTAGTTATTTGAACATCAAATAAGTGTTCATTGTAAACACTAGTCCTGCTGCGAGTAGCTTGATTTATGTTGTTTATGTCATCAATTGACTCAGAGTTCCCATATTCAATTTTTTTCTTGACTGCTTCAACATGAATCTCTTTGTGTTTTTAATGTTTGTATGACCATTCTATTGAATTTTGTTGAAAGCTTTTTTTGATGTTTCGATAATAGTCTTCTTTCTTCTATTCCTTACATTACTGGTTTCATTTGCAGGGCTGGAGAACTTTCAAATGCTGAGATTGATAATCTGATGACAATCGTGGCCAATCCAAGGCAATTCAAAATCCCAGACTGGTTTTTGAATAGGAAGAAGGATTACAAGGATGGGAAATATTCCCAGGTGACATCCAATGCTCTTGACATGAAGTTGAGAGATGACCTTGAGCGTTTGAAGAAGATCAGGTTGGTTTTTCTATTTTCTTTTATTTGGCCAAAAAGTTTCTTTCCTTTCCTTTCCTTTTTAGTTGCTTGAAATGATTTTTTTTTTTTTTTTTTATATGGCAGAAACCACCGTGGTCTTCGTCATTACTGGGGTTTGAGAGTGCGTGGACAGCACACCAAGACTACTGGGCGCAGGGGAAAGACTGTTGGTGTGTCAAAGAAGAGATAAGTTATGTTTTTGTTTTCAGCAGTTTTGGATGTTCGGGGTTATTATAAGTTGGTATGTCATGGTGTTATAATTTTACTATCTTGGATATGATGTTTTTGTTAGTCTGTTTTTCAGATCTCATTTGAGAAATTGTTGTTCCGGATATATAGATTATTGATGAATTTTGGCTTTTCTCTGGATTTACATATTACTCGTCAAGTTGCATATTCATATTAAAGCTCATGGTATTATGTATTCATCTTAGCGTGACGAAACAAAGTCATGATTACAAAACTTGGTTAAAAGTTATCTACGTATTGGTTCTAACTGAAAAATTCAAGTGTCATCAAAACACTAGATTACACAGTCTGTGCTCTTATGTGGAGGCGTCAGTTTTGATTTCGTGGTTTAATATGATTCAAGTGAATCCAAATTTATTTTGGTTTTTGGTTTTTGGTTTTTGGTTTTAAAACTCAAATTATAATTCGCTATAGTCTTAGTCATATGTATAAAAGAAATTAGAGAAAATTATTTAGGTAATTGTGAATTAAAGTTTATAAATAGGTACCAAGAAAATTATAAATATAATTAAATATTTTGTAGACAAAATATTTAATAGTTGCAAATTAAGATATTATAATGGATAAAATTTTTCTATATTAAAACAAATTTAATAAAATTAAAGTTATATATTAAAATAATTAATATAAATAAATAAATAGTATATTTTAATCGGGGGTTTTTTTTTTAGACTTTGGTTTTTATTTTACAAACCAAAACCAATCGTAAATCCAAATAATAATTCGGTGTAGCTGAAAACAAAATAAAAAATCTGAATCAAATAATTGTCTAATTAAATGATTTGAATCTATCCAAATAATAAACAACCTTAAAATTAGGTAAAATGTGCTTTTCTAGCATTCAAGGATATTGAAAAAATTAGGTAAAATGTGGTTTTCTAGCATTCAAGGATATTGAAAAAAAGTTTGTAAAAATTACCATAAGTCCAACATAAGGCTCTTCGGAGGAGGGAGTCATGGCGGTTTGAGAAGATATATCGTTTAAATGTGTTGTAGATTGAGAGGATTGCAGTGAGTTGTGCGGGAATGATTCCCTCCACGCTTATCCAATCATCATGCTCTTATGGGATCAAAGGAAAAACCCAAATGCCATAGAATACAATACACGGCCTATATTAAAATATTTTCCAAAATGATTATCTTTAACCATACATAAGAGAATTAGTGTGACCAAACCTTAAAAACCTCTTAAGATGTCAAAGTCCAAACAAAAAACTCATGCATATTATGCATTATTCATATGATTAACATCATTTAGCATATATTTATATAAAACACAAATTTATAATTAAAGCATTCCAAACATCATAATCACTTAAAAGTAAAAAACTAAAAACATATTTAATATCCTTACTTATAAAATACAAATGTACTTTACATCTTTCATCTTTCGGTAACCATTCAGTAATACTAATAAATAAGAGATTGGTTGATAGTTATCGACTAAATTAGATGTCCGACTCTATCAAGCTTTGGTTAAATATTACCATTTTACCTTTCTGTTATGTACTGTACTAATAAAATATTTTAATTGATAAAATTGTTCAATAATTTATATATAAATCATTTCAAGTTAAATCAAATATAATCAAATCATATCAAATAATCCTTGTATTGATCCAACTGTATGGAGCTCATAACATATTTGAGGTGGAGGTGACTTTAAGGTGCACTACGTCCTCTTCATCTAATAGCTTTAACCATCAACCATATTTTCTTAGTTGTGGATTAGTGGTTGAGATTCCATTGATGCTACTTTTTATGAAAATATAATAATAAAACGGATGCCGCATGCCATATAGACAATAACCATCGAGATTTAACATCGAAACAAATTAAATTGGCCAAACAAAAATATATAAGCACTCCAAAAAACAATATTTAAATTTAAGCCCCAAAAGTACCAAAATATCTCTTATAATTAAACTCAATATCCACACTTGCCAAAGTAGGATTGACCAACTAATATTTTTATTTACTTCTATAAATTGTTGACGATAAAATATTATTACTAATGAGGAGTAATGTTTGAATAACTATTCAAACGTCAAAAAGATAACCAAATCAATGAAACTAATAAACATTGTAATAAACATTGATGAATCAAAATTACCAATTAGAAATGAAAAAGAAAACATCACTTTTATTTATATAACTATCACAATCACAAAACACTTTCTATTTATACCTTTACCATTTCTACATCTATAACACATCCTCATTTCAGTCGTAAGTCTTTCTATTTATATCTCAGCGCCATATCTACATCCCCACTTCATTTCTGTTGGTTGATCTTTGCCGCCGCATCTACCGCCGAAGCTACACCACCAGGATAAGTCGCCAAATCCGGTTTGTTACGTATCTCCGCCGCTATCACCCCTTCAGCATCCACCCTTGTTGCCGGCTTGTCTTTCGGCAGCAGTGATGTCGCATCCTGCACCCTCAAACATCAGTCTAATACTCGGAAATATAAAACAATATCAACTAAACAGAATTAAAATAAGCTAAAAAATTGATTTATTTGCAATCAAATTAAGAACTTGCCGCCACGACATCTTTAAGCTTAAGCTTTGTCCTCCTCTCGCATGGTTCTAACATTCTGGGCGGCGGCTGCCTGAGCTTTCGCAGCTACACCTCCCGGAACCGCCTGCATACGTCCGGTTGCTCTGACTTCAGCTGCCTGTATCGCCGCTGCATCACCCTCGTCCACCGGTTTTCCACCTGCTGACAACGCACTTGCCTCCAACGCTTCTCCTACTGTAATTGCGTCATCGCCTAAGTTCGCCGGAGCCAGAGAAGAAGCCAAGTTCGTTCGGACATACTGTCCCAGAACCTGTGAAAATTTACAACTCTGATAAACAAATCTCCGGCAAAGAGTAAAGCGCATTAATCGTATATAATTAAGACAGATATAGAGCCAGGGAGGGATGCGATATGTTCTTTGAGTTTCTATAGGTAACGGATGTTTTTGCAAAAGTTTAGCATAAAAACGTCTCTTAAAGGATAAATATAGCGGATATTTAAATTCCGTTATATCTTCGTAGATTCCCTGGTTCCGCTACTTGATTAGAAATGAGATTGATGAAAGTTGCCTCTCCACCGACGGACTCGGTCACGATTCGGTGCCCGGCGTATTCGGTGTCGGAGATGGCGATGCCCGGGTCACTAAAATCGTAGAGGCCAACAAGGCCACGGTTGTTGTTGACGGCGGCGGACGACTGCATGACGGCAGCTGGACCGCCTTTCTGAGTCTCCCCAAGAACCAAGTTCTCGGCGGCTTGCATGTCGGCTGCATCTTGTGGAGTGATGGGTTTTTCGGCCAACTCGCCGGAGATGTTGAAGACGTCGCCGTACTTGATGGGCTCTTGTGGCTCTTCTTGAGATTGTGGTCGCTGTGGTTTTTCCTGACTCATTGTCGCCGTGAACGGAGGTGGTACGGTGGTTGATTGGGTGGTACTTCGGAGACGGCCAGTGTTCTTATTGCAAACTCAGAAGCAGACAAATGACACGTGAAAGACTCCATGATCCGCCATGTCAGCTTTAACGTATGTTGGTTGCTACGTGAAACTACAGATTGCCACGTGTCGTCTATAGTACACGTGGCTCAAACTGGCTTTTCTTGTAAATCAGATTGAGTACCAATGCTACACCTCATTTTTAAAACATTGCCAGATAATTGTTAGGCTCTCCGGAGTGATAAGGAGAAGATGCGTGGGAGGCTGACGTGTCAATCCCCAAGACGTGTCAAGATCATCTTCATCTTCAGTGGGTTGACTGTGGCGTCCTCACAAAGACGAGATAAAATGCTTGGTCTGATTAGTTATTCCTTTTGACCGTTGTGACTGCTTGACGCATTAAAGAATTAATTATTTAATTACTAAAACTTTCTCTATATATAACACTCTTTTTTTATATCAAACACACACTTTTTCATCACAAACACACATATTCACCAAAAAAATATTCCTCGTCACATATTGTTATGGATCCAAATAAAAAATTACACTACCCATCTCGAACACTTCAAATGATCCGTTAGCGAATCTTAGCTCTATTCATCAATCTTCCACATCACCCACACTACTATCAACAACAACAATCACTACAATTCTTTCAACCTCAATTTCAAGTCTTTTAATAACAACCTTCTTCGCAATTTCAACCTCAAACTTCCCAACGTCAACAAACTTCACAACCATCTCAAGTTTTATTATCTGAATCTTAACCTATAAACCTAGACAATGATGATGACGACGAACGGGTTGAAGAAACACAACCAAGTTGTAGAAGTCAAAAAAATCAAAAGATCCAAGGACGCAAACGTCAAACTCAAATACTTGGCTGTGGTGCTTTCGCATACGACCCACGTTCGTGGTAACTAATACAGACCCAAAGATTTAATCATGTACGGTGAACGTTTATGAACATAATTTAAATGAGTTTTATTATTTATTTTCATTTATTTTGTTTTTTTTTTTTATTTTTATATTTCGTTAAAAAATCAATTAAAAAAAATAGATATATGTTCGGTTTTATCGTTTTTTTTTGTTTTTTTGTTTTATTTTTTATTTTAATTTATTGTTTTTTTTAATTATTATTATTATTTTAATATATTACTACATACTTGAAGATACTAGTGTTTTTCTTTATTTATTTTTTAAACTAAATATCGGTTTGAGTTTTTAATGTTTAACAATTATAAAATTTTAAATAGAATATTAAAGACCACAATATTTTCTGTTCATATTTTTTTTTGATACATATTAACTTTGGATTATAAAATTTTGAATCAAATTAATTTGAATTGGAGTATTTTGAATCAAATTTGTTGATACATGGAAGTGATCCTCGACAACTTTGAAGTGTATTGAAGGACTGAAGACTTGTTTTGTTGGTTGCGGTAGTGCTCATGTTTTTGGATAAGTTGCAAAGAGTTTTGAAGATCAATACTGAAGACTTACAATACCACATCGAAGGATACTGACCCGAAGAAGACTATGCTTTGTCTTGTTGTATGTCAAAATGTCAGAAAAGTAATGTTCAACTTTTCTATCATTATGTGTTAGATGAGTTTTGTCAGTCCAAGTGTGGCAAGCATGGCCTCTTGACTTAGGAGTATTCTATTGTTTATCATTGTAACACCCTTGATCCATGTATTTTCCATTTATACCCTTATTATGAAATTTATTTGCAAATTAGTTCCTTAGCTCCTTAAGTGAAAAACGCGTGTGTGCCTAGTACGTTGGGAGTACTTCAGCTTACGTTAGGTGTAAGTGGTTAAGGGTCAAACCCTAATGTTTAGGGTATGAGACCTATTTAAACATCATTATATCTTCAAGACCTCTTCCCTCGTCAGCCTTTATCTCCCAAATCGCCCCTTGCCAACCCTAATCCATTGTGTGAGCATTTTAAGCTTGAAAGTGTGCTTTTGGTGATCTCGAAGGAAGAAGAATGATGTGGAATCAACTTAGAAAGCTCAATGCATCTTGGATCCAGAAATATCTTGCCCTCAAGCATCATTTAAAGGTATAAAGTTCGGATCTTGATGCATGTTTGCTTTGGATCTTGCTAGTTCTTAGCTTTTTATGCTTTTAGTCCCATAATCTTGGTGTTCATGAGTATGACTTACTCTAACCCATAAGGGATGTCCTTCCAGACGTTTTTAGGTACTTAGAACAATAAAAATGTGATCTCGGTCCCTTTCCTTTCTTCATGCATGGGATATGAGGTTTTGGTCTGTGTATTAAGTTATGGTTTAGTTGTTGGACCCTTTTTAGCCTCGAAAAGTCATAAGTTGTAAACTTTATGACTTAGAATGTTATTTGGAACTAGATCTGATTTTTGGATATGGTGTCTCAATATAATAAGCACTTAATAGAGAAAAAGGATGTCACACCCCAAAACCACGAACGGCGGAAACGTTCAGGGGTGGAGGACGTCATGTAGAGTATCACAACAGTGTAAAATAGTAAACAAGCAACAACATCATCCATTGAATTATAAGTAAAGTTTTAATACATATGTGTTCTTTCATTGTAATAAGACACCAAAAATATAATCAAAATAAAAGACGATACTTGTCTGCTCCGTCTTCTCAAAACCTTGCCACCGTACCTGTCTACTGATGACCTGAGAATACAAGTTATTTTGAAAGAGAGTATCAGCTTTAAAGCTGGTGAATTCATAAGTATTTAAGTGTCATTGACTTGCTTTGAAACGCTGTTTTAAAGGTCATGTAAACCTTTAAATGAAAATGTTGATATAAGTATGAAAAACCCTAAGAAATCCCTTATTTCCTACTAGTATGAAATGTAGTCTTCTACCAAGACCCGAATGCTTTGTTATGACAATGTAGTCTTCTACCAAGACCCGAATGTTTTGTAAGTAAAATGATAGTTTTTCCTTCTTTTTGACTAATACGAACAGTAATTGGTCTAACTCATCGTTTATGTGAATATATCACAAAAGAAAGTAAATAGGAAAAATATAACCATGTAAGTATTATCCCTAGATACCAGGACTAACACGCCATCACAGTAAGCGATATGAATAACCTAATGAACATCCGAAGATTGTCCAATTGTCCTCTGTAGCAGCAGCAGGTTGGAGGAAGGGTTAGTCCCGTAGCCGACTCCTAATATAAGTGGTAACCTAATGATCATTCGAAGATTTTCATCTCATCCTCTGTTGCAACAGTAGGATGGAGGAATGGTTAGTTCCGATATCAATCTATCTATTCTAAGTGATAACCTTAGACATCCGTGGATGTTCATCACCCAGTGGTGCTAACAGCTGGGTTCCGGAATGATTAGTCCCGTCTAGACATCCCGTCGAACAGGGATAGGCAGGAAATTTACACAGAAGGTACGAATAAATCTTCCTCATAACTCTAGGTACAAGTATCCAGGTAAGTGAATACAGGATAATGTATCTATGTAACACTACTCATGTATGTTATTCATGTATCACGTAAGCATATGTAAACATACTCATGTATCATGTAATCATATATAAATGTACTCATGTATCAGGTAATGTACTTGTGTAGACTCATGAATGAACTGACTCTTGTGTGATTCCTTGTAATTGGAATAATGTTTAATATCTTCAAATTATCCCTATGATAATTTACTAAAAGGTAATTGATGAATCAAGTAGGTTTATACACTTTTACTACTCAAGGGTGTGGGAAACTAAATGAAAGATGACAACTATAACATCAATACATATATAAGAATATAAATGTATATGCATAGTTTAGTTCAAGAATGTAAAAATGGTTTTGTAAAACATCTAAGGATTTTAAACAAATATAAAAAGTGACTTGATGTCATGTTGATAAACATTTCAAAAGTAATACATTTGATAACAAAGTATTTTAAAGATAGAAAACCATTTCATGCATCACATTTTGTTGTATGTGAAATCTGTTGAATGAAAACATAGTTATAAAATACATATATATGATTTAATAACAGGTTGTTTTCTACTTGTATCCCCCCCCATTAAAGCATTTAAAACATTGATTAGGGGTATGAACTCAACTGTAGATGGTAGTTTAGATGAACTGGACGGTGTAGGATTGTTAGGTGTCAAGTGAGGACTTGTACACACACTACGATCCTAATGAACATATAATCACACATATATGCACTCAATTAGTCTTAAATTACTAATTGATAATGTTAAGACATCCTAGAACATAATAAACACTTTATATAAGTGTTTTAATCCCTAAGGATTGCATCTAAGCCATTGTGGGACAAGGTACTTGGGTTTAGGGTTCCAAAGGACCCCATATGTGAGTTTACTCTCCATATACCATCACTCATGGAGTTTACGGTTGTAAACTCTTGAGTTTACGGTTGTAAACTCTTGAGTTTACGGCCGTAAACTCCCAACCTTGGTGGTATTTTGTGTTTTGAAGTTCTAAATGATCCCTAGAATTATTCCAACTTGGTGGTTCAATTCTTGGAAGGGTTTAAGGCATAGAAACACTCCTTTGAGGAGTTTACGGCCCTTAGGCCATTTCCTTTAGAGTTTGCGGCCGTAAACTCTTAAGGAAAAGTGTTTTTGATGCTTTCAAGTCTCTTGCATATGTAGGATAGGTTCGAGACTTTTACCTAAGGCATATGAAGGCATTGAGCACACTTTGGTGCCCTTCTTTGATGTTCACGGCCCCAGAACCTTATTAGGGCCGTGAACTCACTTTGAGGGGTGTTTTGGATGTGTTTTGGGTCCTTCAATTAAGTGGGAACAATTCTATGCAATGTCTAGAGCTTTAGGTGCCTTAAAAGCACCCTTTGATCCAATTTATTAGAGTTCACGGTCCAAGATCATCTTGGGACGTGAACGCCCATGTGTTTGAGTTTCTTGGTTGTTTTCTTGTCCCTAATACACATATATATGAGTC